TATATGTGTGTGTGTGTCAGTAAGCAGCGCATTAATATCGAGCGGTAATTAAAGGCTCTAATGCACACCAGTATAGTTGTGTGTATTGTAGGAGCTAGATGACGTGTGACGGCATAGTGTGTCCCAATTCTTAGGGGAATATTTTCACCCCTACCCCTTGACAGTTTCAAGGGACAAGGGGAAGGGGTAGGCGGAAGGGGTATACAATAGAATTGGGATTGGGCCTAAGTGAATAGATACTAGATGGATATTTTTACCGCAACATTCCTAATAATATATATATGAAAAAGATTGATATTTTAGGACAGCATGGATGTTTATTGTTCCTAAAGGTAAAGGTAATAGCTTCTTTATTTGTTCAAACTGACCAGTCAATTATAAAAGGCCCCATTATGAAGGCCTACGCAAATCATGTCCATGTGCTTTAGATAAAGATTCACTCTAGTCAGATTCCAAAGGACGTGTATTATTGAAATAAAACATCTATTCACCGAATTGAAGAGCTTGAAAAGTGCAAGAGGATATTTCACTCAAGATCCAAAACTAAATGTTTTGCATCTTACAGACTTGTACTTTAATGTATGCTATAATCTGAAAACAGTTGATTTCATTATCAACTTAACCCAAATATCACAACAGTTTAAACAAACACAGAGCAAAACATATGGAGGAAAAAACTAAATACATTTTTGTAGAGATGTTACAGCCATACACTACACAATCAAGATCAGAGTCACAAACTGGCCAGTAAAAATAGATCAATCCTTCAACTTCAATGATAAATCCATAAAAAAATGACTTTATTCTGCCGCCGTTTGCTCCACAGCAAAATCTCCCTGCGAGAATAATGCCAAGCTATCAGAGGCCAAAAACAGATTTGGTTACAAAATGCGACGGAAGTGACGAGCGATGCGTACGAGCGATGCGTAGGTGTGGATAATGACATCACAATGTGCAGGTCAGCTAGAGCAGTCAGTGACTGTAAAACACAGCAGCTGAACGAGGCGGGAAAAGCTAAACGGCACCTGCATTACAGAGACACAACACATTCTGCCTTTTCGATGCTCCAGCTTCCGCTCACATTTAAGATAGAAAGCAGGAGAAACGATCCACTGGGAAGCACTGCTACTGAATAATATCTGGTAAAATAATCATAAGTACTCTCAAACTTCCCAGCGAGCTCTAGGCTCAGTGTGACACGTCAGTTTCACTCGATGTTTTATGAGGCGAAGGACATATGATCTGAATGTTGAATGACGGGATTATAATTATTAGTGGTAAAAGCTCACCGTCAAAGTAACTGCAGCATAGAGTTCTGTAGAGTCACAGAGTAGCATTATTTCTTAGTAAACGTCTGCTACAAAAGTGCTACATACTGCAAAGTGGACCTCATCAAATATAAATCAAACCCACAGAAAATAGAAACGTATCACTGAGGTCGCTTTGCCTTGGTTGACCACATCGTCTCATTTTAATTTGTGCTATTTCCTGGTTTCCCTCAAAAACTGCATTTCTGTGTTTTTCTCCATTATATCTAAAACGTCCTTTAGTGAAACTCTACCAATACTGGCACCTCTTGAAGCGCTTGTCCCGAAACTACAGACCTCTTACGAGGGACTGATACATCCACGTTTATATATATTTAAAAAAAATAATAATAATTCTACTTGCTACAGGAACAGGAATAGTGATGTTGGGGGCTGAAGAATGAAATTACATTAGAAAAATATGACAATGCATAACTGAGTTCCAGGCAGTCTATGTTGATGCTAAATACACTAAGATACTTTATAGCAAAACAAGTCAAAAATAAAGCTCATTCAGTGATCAAAAACACAATACGTTGTTCTAGATAATCTGTTAGCTGTAAGCAGCAGTATATTAAATTCAGGTTAAGCATTGAAGGTCAACGAAACAGCCCTCAGTCCCTCAGAAATCATAATGTATTTGAAGCCATCTGGAAATATTCTCAAATTAACGCTTCAAAAAAAACAAAACATTTGTTCCACTCCTCAGGAAGAAATGGAGTAGCTGTTTCATTAATAGCCAGGTTTGAAGCAGTGCTGGTGACAGATTTTTACAACACGTACATTATCTCCTCGTTCTCAGCAAAACATGTGACCAGAAATGCAGATCCCACACAAATCAGGTCTTCTGGATCTGCTTTCTCTGACCACTATACAGCAACTTTGTTATCCTTCTGGAAAAACAAATGAAGAGAGAAAAAAGTAAATATCTACCAACATTCATTTATATTTTGTATATATGAAGAGTTAATTTGCAAAAAACGATAAACGCCACTTTCAAAAAAAAAAAAAAAAAAAGAGCTGATTGCCGTGCATTATTCTCCACATATAGCGCGATCTGAACCCTAAACACGTTTTGTCAAAAAAAGCCGGTTTTGTCCACTTTCAAGGCATCACGAGGTAACGTTTCACTGCAGAAGCCGACAAACGCCCTTGTTGTTTTTGAACAGAAGCCGATAAGTCCATTTTAGCGAATCAGCGCGCTGTATTCAGGTCAGGTGACAAGGCTACTTTCACTTTGAAAAGACGTGCTAGCTAGGAGGAGCTTCGTCAAAGCTGACAAAGTGATCGAGGATGGATCATTTCGACGAACCTGTGATATCTTCTTCAGGGCGATAAAGGAAAATAAAAGCTGAAACGTTTTCACAGAACCTTGCAAAAGCAGCGCGTTACAATGTTGAGGGAAAAGCTCTGTGTATTGCGTGCAATCACATCCATACAGTTTATGATCACAACAACAACATTTGTCAGGCATCTACATTGCCATCTGAGGAGATTACAAAGATTAAACGAGTTTTTTTTTAAACTAAAACATGAAATGTGGAGTTATCTGCTTTTGCCAAAAAACAAACTTTTAATATGTAAAAAAAAAAAAATAAACATACTTTCAATGAACTTTAATTTTGTAAATTACCTGCATTTGTTTAAGTTATTACTTAATAAAAACAACCCAACTGCAGTTTGATTGATATTACTTAAAAAAAAACCTTGATTTCTGAAAAAAGAAAAATGGAGTTATCGGTTTTTGTAAATGAACTCTTCATTCATTCATTTATATATATATATATATATATATCATAAAATAAATTTTAAATAGTGTGATATAAAAATATATGTATATATGTATGTATGTATATATATATATATATATATATATATATATATATATATACATATATATATATATATATATATATATATATATATATATATATACATACATACATACATACATACATACATTTTTAAATCACACTATTTAATAGCCTAGCATGAACATTTAGTCGCATAAGCGAGAGATTTACTCGCATTGTCGAGGGTTGTAAAATGCTTATCACGAGCATAATTTGACTCGTTCATTACCCTGTATTCAAAGTCAGAGAACTCTCTTCCTCCTTGGCTTCCTCTGAATGCCCCTCTAAAGCCACTTCCACCAGGGTGAGATCCAAACCACCCCCGTCCAGCTCCGCGGCCTCGGCCCCCTCTGAAGCCCATGCCACCGCGACCTCTGAAGCCTCCGCGACCCCGCCGCAGCGGGAGGCCAAACGTCTCTGCGTTCATCCTCCGCTCCTCCGCCCAGGTCTGCCTCCTCTCTCTTAAAGAAATTATGAAAACCAGTTCAAATACATTTAATGAAGTGGTTGTAGCAAGGCTAAAGCCATTCAGTAGTTTTGGCTTCTGCTGTACTCACCGGGGGAAACCGGATCCTCCAGATCTCTCAGCGGCCTTCCTGTTTGAAATCAGGAACAATGACAAGATTTATGAATTTGTTGCATCATGTGACAAGTGACATTTTACATATGGAGGCTCATATTAAAGTAGGGATGAAACGATTACCGGTTTGACGATAAATCGTGATAAAATTCCTCACAGTTAGTTTTACGGTTTCTTAATTTAATTATTAAAACTGTATTCGATTACTGCGATTTGAACAGGATAAAGAAATCCCATCCAGCATAAAGCAGAGTTTGAAGTAACCCTGTCACGTGCACACAGCACGCAGAGAAGTTTCGTTTTGTGTGAAAACAAATGTTACTTAGTCAAGAGCAGTGATTTATCTTCTTTTCTTTTTTTTTTTTTTTTTTTTTACAAAAATGACAGACGGCACGGCTTTATTAGGATGCTGTCCTTTTAAGGCTGAC